AGTAACAGGGCTCTCAGAGCACTAACAGATGATCACCAAAGGAACTGGCTTAGAGTTTAAAAGTGTTCAACCAGCTCAGACTGCCTTGCAAGGAACAACTGACAAAATCCTTTCCAGTGCCCTGCTTTGCCTTCTCAGACAGCTTATGAATAATCTTAAGGGAAGCTCTCTAAAGCTCCAGGATTTTTCACGTTCCCCTCCCAATATCCTACTTTCTTCACTTACAAAACAGTGGGTACCTATGGGGAGAGCAAGCTTTACTTTTCTCCAAGCACGATCATAAATTGCAGCAGTCCCCTGAAGCAAAAGACTTACTGCTAACCCCATAAAAATGGAAATTTGACTCAGAATAGCTAAAATAAGCTTTCTGCAATGTGAAGTAACAGAGCTAGGATCCGGTTCTTGCTCAAAGGAATAGAAGGGTGGCATATTAATCTTAAACTATGGCAGTACTGTAGAATTTCAAGAACTGAAATGATATATGCAGGAAAATGAGGAATTTCCACTAGGGACTGTAATTCATATATTATGGGAGAGATTAAAGAATAATAAATTTTGGAAGGAAGTATTAATGGCTATATGGGGCACTGTGAACCTGGCATTCCCTGAAGCCTGGAACTTTGTATACCAAACACTAAAAATGATTTGTGCAGGAGCAGAAAACATTAGATGTTATTCTGACCATGACCAGTTACAAACTGCACGAAGTAAGAATTCAGCAAGAGAAAAAACTTCCTTTATAATTTAGAGATAAACAGATAGGATAATATTTGCCATTAGGTCAAATGGTAACCATCTCTGGGAAGAAGAAAGGGGATGACAGCACTTAGGATATTTCCCTTGCTCTTAGAGAAAGGCTGGTCCTGAAAATCATTAGCGTTGTTGCTGTGCGTTCACATGCAACAGCTTTCACCCTAAGCTCTTTACAAATAGAGGCAGAGAAGCTACGTAAAGTGCTCACAGTGCAGCAAATGCCCCAGCTTTGCCCTAGGTTTATAGCTCCTAGAGTCCCGTCAGTCATCTTTCCTGGTGTTGATAATGGCACCCTTTGACTTGGATGCTGAAGCTTGTGTTTTAACCTTCATGTTTGTCCGCTCTGGAGATCAATTTTTTGGCAAGACAAATAAAACCTCCATTCAAAGCAAGTTAAAGGTGAAAAATTTCCTGCTTCTTAACCAAATTAATTAGAAAATACCATATATCCACACATTTTCCACAGAGTTATTCCTACTATGTTAGGAGGTCTCTCGGTGAACTACTCGGAGGAGACAGAAGCATGTGAGGCAGCAACCAGCTCATTATTCAGAGAATTAGCACAGGACTGACCAGGCCATGAAGAGCTTACAGCTGCACCACCTCAAGAAGTGGTCCTTCAAGAAGAAGCACGAAATATTAGGTGGGGAGTTATGGGACACTTTCAGAGCCTGTTGATGATTGGGCTAGAGCTCTTGCCTCTCCCAGTCTCGTACCAGTAATTAAGGCACTTCAGATAAAAAGAGAAAGAGGTCCGCAGAACGAACAGTTGGGTAAAAACATGTACTGAAAGCTACCAAATCAGCCAGCACATATAGGACTTTCCTGGTGCTGGCCACAGTGTGGGTCCCTGCACAAATTCCCTGAGGCGCTGTGTGTACCATGTGATGCTGGGTCTACCTGACTTACTTTACTGAATGCTGTAGTAAATGGTTGCACAAAATCCAGTGTAAATACCAGAGTACAAGCGACAGCTGCCCCCGAGGAGCTTTAACTTATGCACTATCCCATAAAACTCCCAGGTAGGGAAATGAGCCTGAATGCTTTCTTATTCCATAACCCCTTTGTGGTAAAGTATTCTGCACTGAATGTTTCCATTGTTCAATATAGACGGGGGAAATAAGATTAGCTTGAGATGGAATATCCCATTTTCTCATGCAGTATGTTCTCTAGCCAACTCAAGCTTGCTGGTTTGGCAGAACTCAGGGCTCTCCAAAGACGGTGATTTTTTTTGAAGGCTGACAAAGTTAAGTTTGGCACAAACACATGCATTCCATGCCATGCCCTACCTTCAGGTGTTCTATGTAGGGCTAATGTTCTGCCAGAGCATAAGAGAACAGCACATCAGAGCCCGCTTTGCCTAACAGCTGTATTGTGGCTTGGAACTGTAGCTTTTCTTTTAACAGTATTAGCAACCTGGTCCCTTATTTCTCCTCCAACTAGTCGGTGTAATAGGCAACTGCAGATATGTTTCAAAGCTCACAAATGCTATGTGGCACACAGAATGATTAACTGCAGTCATCACCCTGGAAACTTTAAGGAGGAAAAACTCAGCCTAGAGAAAATGGATGCAAAACAATTCCTAATGTGGTCTGACACAGAGGGTAACTTGCAAAACAGAACCCCTGACCCAAACATCAGGATTCAAAACACTGGTGGCTTACAGTTCCAGGCAGAGCAAGTGGTGTGGAAAGCCCTGAAGATAGCGATAGCACAGCCACTGTAACCACAGCACATGAGAAGCAGGAGGATACAGAAATGGAAACATCTTAATCATCTCTGCTCTGCAGAGCCAGGTCTCAGGAATATTTCATGTGCCTGAGCAGGTAGGGAGATCCTACACCAACCAGATATATCCCTTCTATAGTGTGCACATGGAGGGACCTTCAGCTGAAGACATGCTCTTCTTCCATCCGACATACCCCAAAATCTGAATGATTTTGCTGATATATGTATTGGTCAGAGTGGCCATGGTATAGATGAAGAAAATGCTGGTGGCATGCCAAAGGGATAATGGTGAAAGCTGCTGCAGAAACAGCCAGCATATTACTGGGAGTGCAAGCTGGTGCTGGGAGAGCTGGAGAAGAAAGACCCAGTTGAGATAAGGAAGGAGAAGGACCATGCAAGGGCTGGCTCATGATCTTTCTCCCCCAGGGATAACAGCCTTCTCAAGCTGTTAGCGGAGGTTTTGAAGTCCTGTAGCTTACACAGAAGCAGCCTCGAAGCCAGCATTGCTAGTGCAGGATTCAAAGCCTTGGTAGCTTACTACTTCTTTCCTTTGCAAAATAATCCAGGAAATTACATGCAAAAACTGCTGCCTCAATTGACTGTTACCTGGATTGTGAACTAAAGCACTGAATGTTATTGCTGGGCTTGTGGTTTCTCACACAATCTTAACTAGGTCCCCTCGTCAGTAGTCCACCATGACAGTAGACTGTCACGGATGGGTATCCCTTGCTATAAGACGAAAGGAAGTTTTTTCTGTCCGACTCCTGCCTCATTCAACATAAAGGACAATTGTTTAAATGGAGTTACCTGAATTTAGCTTCTAAGGACAAGTGCTCAAAATAATGCATCTAGAAAGGCTTAGTATGCAATATATGATACAATGAGCAAAAACTATTTCCTCCTATATTTTTTGATGACTTCTGGGAATCAGAAATTAATTCTGTATACTCAGTATGAATGTTTAAATATAACATAACTGCACCTTACCTGATATATAAAGTAATGCATGTTTTCTTATTTACTGAATGTCTTTTTTCAGTGAAAAGCATGAATCACTCTAATCATGTAACCTAACAATGTAGAAACCAGTCCTGAAGATTGTGTGTCTACTTTGCTGCATGTGTGGCCAGCATTTTACAGGGAGAAACAAATAATGAGTACTTGTGTTAACTTGGATGATGGAATGAATACCTTGGACAGAAGAATTTTTAGATGACTCTCCACAGCACTAAAATTTTAGCAAACCTCCTTATAATGTGCACAACACTCTCCAGTTCCAAATGTAACCCTCAAGGAATACATACATAAATCATATCCACTGGGGAAACCTCTGAAATCCTACAAAAAGGGGAAATGCATTTTAGGGGGCTGTCTGCTCAACTGCCTGCTTTTAAGTACAATTTCAAATCAGGAATAATTAATGGCTGAATTGTGGTTAGCGCTTAGATATTATAAAGAGGAAAAAACAAAAACAATTTCTACATGCTTTCATTACTGTGTAGAGAATGGAAAAGATTATAATTTGAAAACGTCTGGTAAGCTTTTGCTCTTAAGCCTTTTGATTAAAGTACTTCTGTGCCTTGAATCCTAAGGATTTTGACCAAAATAAGGATACCATGAAAACCTCTAATTCAAGTATATTCACATACTGCTCATCTACTAATATCATCAAGCTAAGATGTCCAAGGAAGACTAACATATCACTTAGGTAGAAAGTGTTGTCTCCTCTGGAATATTACGTTAAGTGTTACTGAGATGAGGACACATTCTGCAGTCCATGTAAGGGTTGGGGATCACAGGAAAACAAGCTGTGTCTTTTCCAAAAATACTTCTGGTATTGTGTGATAAAAATGGATCCAAGTAAATATAACTGTTGATATTGCCCTGAACCACACACCTGCCCAACAGACAGCTCACAGACGATGGACTGCTCTTCACTATAGTCACATGGCACTTAAGACATCTGAGCAGGAGCTGCCTCTACAGTGCATCACTCCTTTGCTGGCACCAGAGCTGCCCTGTCCAAGCACAGCTGGGCTGTCTAGCACTGGCAGTTTTATGCAACCTGGTGAGAGCATAGCCCCTAGGCAAGGCAAACTTCATAGCTGATGCACAGGTCCTCTCTAAACCACAGAAACGCAAGTGGCCAAGGACCAAAACTGGTTTTCAATGTTGTTCTCAATTTCCCTGCTTCTACCTCTAAGTGATTATTGTTTTGCCAATTCTGATTTGGCTGCTGCTTCTTTGGTGTTTGATGGATAGAATCATGAGGACACTGGGAAGGTACATCAAGTCATTTTCTTCCTGAGTCATTTTATTGGCTCTGTTCAGAATCTGTTCGCAAATACAGCAGCTCCTGCCACTTCGAAGCAGAGGCAGCCTCTTTGCAAAAATGGCAAAATGCAGTCTCCAGGGAAAGTAATCAATTCACTGGTAGAGTGAAAGTATTTAGTGGGTTCAATAACTCCATGTAAGGGACCAGCTGTGCCAGCAGGTAGCAGCACGCAGGCAGCACTCACCTCGTGCAGGTCGCAGCTCAGTGATGTTCTCGGTGGCTTCATCATCCGAATCTTCAGATGCTACCACCTTGTACCTGTTGCTGCTCTGTTTGTTCAGTACATGTGGGACCTGCAGCGCAGCCTCTCTCTCTGCAGCCAGATCCAAATCCTGCTGAGCAAGGTGTGCCCTCAGCTGCCTGATTTCAAACTAGAGGAAAAAACAATACCACAAACTGATGTCATATAAGCATGGCCCAAAGTCCATATTCTATAGTTGGGGACCTATTACTCATTTTATCACTAAATCATCACAAACTGGTGACAGTAAATACAATGTGGTTGAGCCAGGGTGCAAGTCCAAGCTGCTGATGCTCTCCCAGAGCCCATGTGAGCTGGACCATTGTTCACACAATCTAAAAATGACGACTGCCTCATGCTGGTCTTCTATTTTGTACATGTCTGCATCCTGAAGATATGATTTTGGACAATTTTTAACACATCTAACTGGCAAATCAAATGAAATCTTTATAGAAGGCCACTCTTAATAGGCCTCTAGGGATTTAGGTTCATGACAAACATCCCTAATCTGCTGGACTTTGTAATGAGGATTTCTGTGGAGGGAGGTTCTCTAAGCCATACCCAGAACGGTCCTCCCCCACTAACTGGGCAAGGGGCAGGGACACTATAGTCTCTTCCAGCTTGAAATCTTCTGTACTCAACAGTGTGCAGAAAACCCTGGGGGAAGGTTGCCACTTTTCTGGCCACTCCCCTCAAATATATGAGCCGTGGCAGTTAATGACTTTCTGCAGTCAGGGGGGTATTTGCCTCTTGCCTGGTGTTATAAAGCAGACACTGAACGAAAAGACAGAAACTACCAGGTACAATCTGATTGATGGACACAGCATACTTCCCTTGTGTTTGACAGCCATAGGTCTTCCACAATGCAAGAAGGAAAGTAATTTTTCTAGGAGAGGCTGCAGAGACCCTTTAAGCTCTTAAATAAAATAGGCACTACAAGATCCCACTGTCCTTCCCCTCTGCCATCCAGCTCAGCTATGGAGCTGCACGACAGAGGGTTTCTCTTTTTTAAACTCTTTTTAAGATCAGTAGTACACCAGTGACCAAGTCATGTCTAATTATAGAGGGTCTGAGAGGGAAAAGCAAATGAGCCGAGTAGTAGGCTAAAGCATTTAAAACAGCATTGCTGGGCCTCCCATAGTTCAAGGCCTCAAAAGCCATCAGAAAGCATGATGCTATGGTGAGCCACACTGCACCTGTCACTCCGCATTTACAATAGAGATGGAATTAGCACCTCAGTGCTTGAAAATGTGTGTAACAGCATGTAGGCTAAATGAACCTGGTTTTGGCTCTTGCCTCTCAGATGCTGACTCAAATTCCTTTGCTGTCGGATTTTGGAATCCGTCAGCAGACCTAGTTTGTTCTACCATGGTCCAAATCAGACACGGCGCAAACCCCAGGCACGCTGCAGAGCACCAGCAGTTCCTCCAAGCTGTGTAAGCGACTGGAGGGGAAACAAGAGAGGGTTTCTGCAGATTTCAGAAAGAAAAAAAGGGGGAAAGAAAAAGGGATTCCAGTTTGCCACATATGGAGACTTATCTGCTTTCCAGAGCATAAGGGAAGGAACCACAATAACTGGAAGGCCCACTGCAAGACTCAAATCTAGAGAGCAAAAGGGCAGTTTAAGCTTTCCAGATCACATTCAAACCACCTAATATAGGGATCTAACAAAGCACACTGCTTTTTATCTTGAAATTAGTGGACAGAGATCTGGCAGCTGCAGACAGCTGGCTGCATGAAATGCTCATTGCTCTTAACCAAAGGTCCTCTGGCAGTGGCAGTCAGAGGAGTCAGGTAGTATCAGCAAATGTCAAAATACAGCCCTGCTCCTTGATTCCTTCAATGAAGCCTCCATGGCAGTTCCTAGGTAGTGGTTTTTGTGTTAACCTATCAGCTAGGAAGAAGTAGCAAACTGGTAGTGCTGTTTTCCCAGCCAGCCCTAAGCTTCCTGAGGCTTAAGGCACCAGTGCCATACCAGAGGTGCCAGTATCAATGTGTCATTCAGCTGTGAAAGGACTGTCTGGAGTTCAACTTTACAACACAGAGAATTTCAGGTTTTATCCTTGAGTTGAAAAAAAAAAAAAAAAGAAATCCCAAAATATCTTACATGTCACCTTTAAAGGGAGAAAGATACCCTTTCAGACACTCCCTTGGCTTAAAGGAAGAAATGTGCTCAAACATGATAGGAAAAAAAAATAAATGTGGAGATTTTGGGGGAAAAAAAAAAAAAAAGAAAAAATTGCCTAACCATATCTACTTGCCTAGCTCAAACTAAAAGGCGATAAGAATTAGGCATAATTTCTGTTTTTCTACATTTCACATTTCATCCTTCAAAAACATTCCTGTGTGTCAGAAAAAGCAATATTGCTACTAAAATGCTTAATTCTGGCCTAGAGGCAGGATATGATTTCTTTTTTCATGGGAGAGAAAAAATTGGCAGATAGTTTATAGCACAAATAGATAAAACTACCTAAAAGTCAGTTCAACAATTGTATTTCTGCATCTCACCCATTTAACCAGCTTAAGCATTTACAAAGATTGGCTGTACCTTGTAACAATCAAAAGCTTGAAGGGAATCACTGCATTTTACAGATGTGAAAAAGGAAGCACATTAGGTGATCTTTCCTGCTACAGGGAACCTACAGCAAAAAAAGGGGGAAGAGACCAGACTCTCTGATGCCCACTTACATGTTCCAATCGATAAAGCAAGCATTTCCAAATATCCACAGATTATTGTCAACCTTTAAAATTTCCATGCCCAGTCACCATCCAGTTTTTAATAGATGAGTTCATAAATTTTATTGTTTAATATGGCTCTGCCAACAAGCCATGAACTACTCAGCCTGGTGTGCTGGACAGAGTAGCAGTCTGCAGCCATGGCTGGGGTCCCCATGCTGGACAAGTACACTTTGTCCAAACAATTCTTTATTTCCTATTTATATGGGAAAAAATACTACCTCGGTTGAATCCAACTACACAGACAGCATGGGAACTGGAATCCACAGAGAAAATGACTACCACAGTCAGTCAGGTGAACAGTTACTACCACTGGTAATGTTAAAAACAGAAGGGGCTTTGCTGCCACCTTATGTTTGAAAGGTAGAAATACATGCTTGTGCCTACAGCAGAGGAAGCACCTGCTGAGGAAGATCGCACAAACAAGCAGAAACTGAAACCTAGACCCGATGGCTTGGCTCATGCCACGCTTCCCTCATCCACTGCCTGAGGATTAGAAGTGTACGCAGGACTTGAAACTTTTTAAGTGATATGCGAACCCTCTTTTACTGCTAGCTGCAAACACAATCCACATGCTTGTCTTATTTTCAGCTCTTAACACTGAGCTAGTTCAGCTGGTCTAAAATCCAGAATTGAACACAAGACTGTCAAGAGCAGATATTGATAAGCAGATAAGCAGATTGAATTCCTAGGCACAGTAAAGCAGCACAGTGCTCTGGACTTCAGCATCATGTGCAAGGTGAATAATAGCACACAGAGATGTTCAGAAAGATAACAGCAGAAACCGATGCTGCCTACAAAACCACGCAGCTGCAGCTGGTTAACCACAGGCTGTCCCTTCCACTTTTCCATTACCTCAGACGGTCAGCTTCCAGGTCCCATTTGTGTTTGCCCTAAAGTCTATGTAATCATTAAAAGAGTGGAAAGCTAGAATTAAATACTGTTGTGTGTGTAACTAATTTTTTTATTGACAGAGAATAGGGTATTCATTGTAGCAATGGTGTTAGTCTCACTCCCACATTCACTGTTACTGATGCAAAGGGATCCATACGTGTTCCACAGCGATGCAGAACCGTAACTCTGTTACAGACACAGAGCATAAGACAGAGCCAAAACCTAACTCAATATACTGCTTCTAAATGCAAACCCTAACTCTCCAAGTGTCTAGTGCGTTCAAAAAGGGAGTGGGTGGGATGGAAAAAATCACCATTTATCATAAGGATTAAGAAAATGAAAGGACATTCAATAAAATATCTAGAAAAAGTTAAACAAGAAACAGAGATTTTTTGCTCACAAAAGGCATACATCTACTCAGGAGATCAGTTCAATAGTGTTTCCAATTATTACTTAAAAATTATTCCAAGATATTGCAGAAGCCGGAATACAGTTTTGGCCACTAAAAGCAACCCACTAAAAACAAAGGTTAAGTTTAAGAGAAGTGGGTGTTCCTTACAGGCATAATTCAATGAGGGACTGCATGAACAAATTATGTTGTAGGTGCTTATATCTATTGAACATTATATTGAACACTGACCTCAGGCAGTTCTAATGTGTAAAAGAGCTAATGAGATTGCTCTGACTGCATGTCATGCAGTCCAGGGCGGGTTAAATAAATCATTAAAAGGTATAAAAATGTAACAGTCTTTTTAAGTAAAAATTCTGGGCCAAGTTAAACAATGAAATTTCTACTTGCAGTAGGAGCTGAGGTAGCTATCTGTAGACTTGGGCCTCTGTAATAGAGAGTACTGCGGGAGAGCTGTACTGAGAGAACCATGTTTCATATTTTCAGGTAGACCATCCATCCTTCCTTCCGCCTGTAAGGAAGGATGCATATTATGCATATCATGAGGTAAAAAGGAAAAAAAAAGCATACAAACTTACACACATGCTTTGATTTGTTTAAATTAAGACTTACTCATAGGTGTCCGGTCTGTGTTAAGAATCTTGTAAATCCCACAGAAAGTCAGTGGGCAAATAATGCTGTTGTGTGGAAGATAACTTCTTGCTATCAAGGAGACTAAGGTAACCCATCTCCTGACTCAATATAATTACAAACTGAGCACTCGTCCACTTGAGACTGCTACTGACATTATTTACCAGGACACCTATGATATTCATTATCTTTAATTGCATACACTTTGGTAGCTTCTGGTGGGTTCTTTTATCAGTAAGTTCCTAACATACTTTGCAATGGAAAAAATGTATTTGAAAACTTCACAGAATCACAGCATCATCTAGGCTAAAATGGACCTGTGACGGTCATCTAGTTCAACACCCTGCTTAAGGCAAGTCCATTTAGCTCAGGTTGCTAAAAACCTGTCCTGCCAAGTTTTGAATATCTCCAAGGTTGTATATACAACTATACTGGCAATCTGCTCCAGTGCCTGGCCATTCTCCTAGTAAAAATGTTTGTTCTTATATTTAATAGGGATTTTGCACATTTCAGCTTGTGTACTGTCACTGTGCACCTCTGAAGAGAGCCTGGCTACACCCTTCCATGAGGGAGTTGAAGATGGCAGTAAAGGTGTTAATACAACTGGCTAATGTGAAAATACACTTATTACGAAGAAAAAGGGAGATACAGACCATCTTACATAAGAATGAGTAACTAGGTTGTCAGGCATGAAGAGAAAGTTCATTGATGGTAAATTTAAACTTAACTTAGTGTTTTCAAAATTTGTTACATGTCCTCTTGTAGCACAAACTTCGCAATATTTTGGCAGGAAAGAAACCAGAAAGAACTATGGGGCACACCTGTGCACTTCCTCATTTAAAGAACGCATTAGGTGATTGTTTATAAGCAGGTAAAATGACAGAGACCTACCCAGGGCTCTAGATAATGTCTCAGTTTACATGCCTGGTTTTATAAAATGTGCCACCCATCCTATCTGATGTTTTACAACATGCATATAAGACTCAAAAAGGGACAGATTTAGCAGTGAATCATACAGTACTTCCCTTTAATGGTCTAGCAACAAAAGTATGATTGACATAGTTTCAGAGAGATCAATGAACATTTCAGCTAGAAGCTTACTCGCGCCTAGTGCAGGAGCAATAACTTTGCTCAATTCTATTAGTGCTGTCTGTACAGAATGCCCTGCCCTAAAACTCATCTGCCACTGGGATACAATCCAATGTTTATTTCCATTAGTTTAGCCATTGTTGGTAACAATAAAAATCAGGAGACAGTTGCAAACTGATGATTTATGGGCAGAATGAAACACGGGATGACCTTGGCTACCTTCCATTCACCAAGAAAATGACTGGTAGTTAGAAATAAATTAAAATTATTGCAAAAGGATAACATAAGTTATTTCTCCGATAGGTAATTTTACCAGCTAAATAGCCCTGTCATTAGGCTAGCAGCTGTTGTACAAATTATATTCCAAGATAAAAAAATAAATTATAGCTTCCATAGTTGTTGCAGCTTTGAGAATGATGAAAAACCTAATTCTATAGGAGCTGACAGAAAAGGAGCTCTTGTGATAAGGCTGAATACATAGTCTTGGCTGGACTGTATTCAGCTGAATGACTCTTATGAAAGTTAAGCAGAAAAGACCACGTAAGTAGATCTATTATCAGAAATGGAAATTCCTTTACAGGTGATTCCAGAGGAAAAAAAGCAATCTTCCCTGACTGGAATTTGCATTGTTAATGGAACTTTGTTTTGCAATTTAGGGTAAGTTATTCTGGTAAAACAATACCATCAGCAATATACTCTGTTCATATTTTTGATAGTAATTGCAGTGAGACTTTTTTACCTTTTACCTTTACGCATTTTTAGAAAACCCTGTTACTGTGATTGTTAATGTTTCTCATGTTTTGTGAAGTCCTGTACAGCCATCTCAGCCCTTTCAGAATTTTCTGCCTTGACTGCCCTCATGCTCCACTCCTTTTTAATGACTTATTTCTTGGCCAATGGAGAATAAATAAAACAGCAAACTATTCAACCAGTTTCAGTGGGGTACTACAGAGAACAAAGCGGTGGTCCGTGCAACTGTAATTTATAAAATATATTCTGGTTTTCAGATGTATGGCTAGCCAAAAATCAACATCTGGAAAGAGTTTTCGTGTTTGCAAAAGTACGTCTCCAATGTCATTCAGGAATGGAAATGTACTTTATAGTTGTGATACCCTATCACTGGCCAAAAAAATATACAACTGACAAAAGAAACAGAATTTGAAAAGTAAGATGAAGGGAGGTTGCATCTTTCCTGCTTTTATTTTTTTAAAGCAGGAACTCATTTTTGCCTGTCAAGTGTTAAGTACCAGCTTCAAAACAGGAGGGCATGAGACTTCTCAGAGAACCGGCCACCAATTATTTTTGTTTTAAATCCTGAACAAAACAGGCTATTTTTTTTTCCCAATTCCTCTTCAGAAACAATTAATATTTTGCCTGAAACTTTCCAAATAATTTCATGTGCAGAAGATGCCAGACCTTGAGAATGTCAATCCCAATTGCCTGTCAAGTGGCAAAGCAGTAAGAAACTGAACACAGGATCTCAGAAAAGAAAGTGCTGGGAAATCTTTCTAACAGGAATTTTTGGCCCTGTCTATAATTAGTAAAGAAATGGAAATCATCAGTGTAGTCACAAAGATGAAACCTCAGGATGAATCAGTATCTACATCCACTGCTGGGATGTAGGCAACTATGGTGGCTTGCCCATTCTTCATACTTGGGCTGGCACTAGTGTGCCCCAGCAGGTATCTGAGGCAACAGGTCAACAACCTCTATGTGCAGCTCCCAGCTACCCCATCGGCCCATGCCAGAGGTGATACCACACAGACAAGGCAAACTGGAATCCCTCCTTGCTGGCGCTCCAGATTTAAGAACAGCCAGACTACTGTAGGCAACCCTTCACTCAAAAACACAGACATGCGCACTTAAACTCCATGAACAAGCTATCCTTTAAAAAGGTCAGAAAAGATGATCAAATGAAAAAGCAAAAAGCTGGCAGAATTTTAGATGTTAAATACCATCAGGAGACATTTTTCCCAACAGATACTGTACACAATGTTAATGTGAATATTATAATGCTGACAACTTGTTCTCGACTGAATTATGAAGCTATTAATTTACAGAGGAACAATGCAGTACTTGTTTCAATGTCTTATGTTGCTAACTGTAGCAAATTAGTACATTTACCTCATATTATACAGTTGAGACGTTTGTTTGGCAGGAAGTCAGGCCAGTAAAATAAGAGGGATTAGTATACTGTCATTTTTCTGTAGTCCATATTTTTCCATAGCTGGTGACACTTGAAAGCTAGGAGAGAACCTGCTCTGTTTTCACAGATTTACTCAACTACCAATGCAGTATTTCTTTGTGCTTGATGTACAGCTATGCTGTAATCATCAGAGCTCAGATTAGGGCTACTGTGCTCAGACATTCTGCAAGCCAGGCATGCAGATAAGGAGTACATGAATCAGCATGGAGAGTGGCAAAAGCTGCTCCTGGACCCCACTTGGGATAACAAGCCCACCTTTACTCAAAGACTATGAAATAACAACACTGAAAATTGTTTAGAGATTGAGAGTGTTATCTGGCTGCATAATACATTTCCTGAAAATGAATGTTTTCAAATTTATGATTGTCAAGAACTTTAGCCCAATAGCATGGTCTGACAGACAAAATATTGCAACGGGACTCAAGAAATCACTGATTTGCCTAGTGTGTTTGGTCAAAGGATAGTCTCTCCTCTGTGAAATGGGGTATATACACCATTTCCCTGTTCATTTCACGACTATGAGAGAAGCATTAATCACTTAATATCATTGTGCAAAGTTGCAATGAAGAGGACTGCAGTTTTGCCACTGAAGATACTTACATAGTTGCAAGTAACTGATTTTTGGCAAAAGTCAAGCCTAAGGTTTAGAAATTTGTTATGGTTAACATGAGAGACTGTCAAAAACAGGGTTATGAAACGACACACACGGTCAACAGGTCTTCCAAATTTATCACACAGACAAGGCAACCTAACACCACCAAGAGTTCATTGCAGAATCCTAGATTGAGATCAAGGAGACCTGGAACTAAAGCTAAAAAGCCATTTGGGGACCTAAATGCTGATGGTTTCACAAGTATTTTAGGTTCCTCCGTAGAAGATGGGCACCTAAATCCCTGCTTCAGATTATGCACCTTTTGGGCAGTTTTTCTGTTCCGGGACAAGTTGCCTCTCCTCCTATCTGCTCAGGTCCTTCAACTTTTTGACTGATTGAGCCATTCAGACTTACAGGTCTCCTCATTTTGCATTTGAAAAGCACCTACTACAAGTGGGGAGTTAAAGCTAGAAATCTCCAGGCTTTATTTGGACACCTCATAGTTACCCTTACAACTGAAAGAAGTAGTAAGTCACTTAGGGGATCATTCTCTTGCGGTTTGATGGTCACCTGAATGCCCCACTTAGCCTGGGCCTCAACATACATCACTAGTTTCTACTTTAAAGCAGGTTATTCAAGAACTCATTTGCATGATACAAACTGCAAAAACTCCTGGCTTATTGCCTGATCTGTGATTTTACACCTTTTTCACATAAATATATTAATTTGAGATGTTTTAAGCTTCCCCTTCCCTTACTTCAAAAGGCAGAGTCACTGAACATTTGGGGGCCTGGGAAGAGTCTTAAATCTTGACTTGCTTCCAGCAACTAGAAGCTTCTATTGCAACACTTGGAGTCTGCCAAGAGTCTCTGACTGACCTACAGGGAAGCTGCTTTCTGCATTTAAAGCAAGGAGATTCATCAGCTTTCAACTGCATGTACTTTTCCTAGGAATACGGCCTTAATATAGCTGCAGTCTCCAACAATGACAATGATGTTTGCATATTCTTAGTATTATGTCGAACTATCTGTAGTCATTCAATAAATTACATACTGGAAGCATTTTTTCTATTCTTCACATTTGTTTTCCTTACCATAAAGACACAACTACAGCAGCAGAGGGAGACAACTGCTGTTTGACAAACAGCATGCTGACAATATCCTGGCTACAGCTAATAGTTCCTTAACACTGAGACCTGTCACCTTACAACAGAAGTCCTAGTGATACTTCTCAAACCTTAGCTTGCAGCAAAGTACATGAACTGTTTTGATTTGCCGTGACAAGCTATGCATAAATAAAGACATTAACTGAACTTTACCCCTTGTTCTTGGCAGATCTGGGTTAGTCTTTCCAGCTGCTCATCTTGAATAACCTTTGCCTTCTCATATTGCTGAATCATCATCTCCATCTCCACTTTCACTGGAAGGACATAGGCTGGAAAACACAAATAAGTACTTAAAGTAACCCAGTTGTGATTTGGTTTTTTTATTAGAGGGAAAACCTTTACAGGCCAAAGAATGTCACCCCTTTTACTTGCATCTAGAGAACTAGAGTATTTCTTATAGAAATAGCACTAGAGTGTTTCTTGTGGGAACGGATTTCTAACATGTGAAATGCAGGTCATCAGCAGGGTCTAGATCTTGTTTGGCCAGATCTCCATTTGCCTGGCTGAGCTGAAATGCACCCTGCATGCTTCTTCCTAGCTTCTGCTCCGCTAGTACAGATCTTTTCCAGTGTTTACCACAGATTTCCTGAATTGCTGGGTAGGAGGATTTTCTGCTTAGAGTTAGGCCCATCCCCTCTAAACCTGAACAGCATGTCTCCCTTAGGAAAAGAACTATTCCAGAGCCCTAAGCATTTAATTCCTAGACTTTGTGGTAAGAAATAAGTCCTTAATGGAAATAGCAGGCTAAGAAGGATATTTTAAAAAACAAAAAGGCATTTATCTTCTATTGCTTTTCAAGCTACAGCCTAGTTTTCAATATATCTTCTGAACGCCTCTGGAAATTGTGCTCCTGTCTTAACTATGGCAAGCTCAGACTGACCAGCAAAGCTGTTCAATGCACATTGCAATTCTTGATGTTGATGCTTCCTGAAGCTACACAAGATCCTGAACCTGTACACTTCAGTCAGTGGGCTACAACTTTTCCTCATCTCTGAATACAGAGTTTCTCAGGCATCTAAACCCAAAATAACAACTTGACTCTGATCCTTCACACACGAGCAAAGTGACCTTTCATTTATTCCTTTTCAACCTCTTTTCCCTGTAACCTGAAATGTCTGAAACCACAGAACACAAAGTAGCCTACACTAAATTCCTTGCTTTCTGCACAGTCATGGGTTCTGGTCTCTGCAACTTTGACTTGCTGGGGCTTTCTTATCTCCCCTGGTGCTTCCTCTCAGAGGTCTGTGCAGAACAGTACCAATACATGCTTCACTATTATGCTGTACAACACATCAGCATTGCAGAGAACACCTTCAGCGTGGAACTCCTATGGTAAGAAAATGCTCCTGGAATCTGACATAAAAATTGTATTACAGAGAAGAACTTCGAAAAGAAAGCCCCAAGACAGAGCTATCTGTATGGAAATGGGGAGGTGCAGCAAATATCAGAAAAGTAGATTGAAACAATTATTTTGCACAATCAGGAATGATATCTGGTGGCAAGAGACAGGAAGCAGGACAGGGCATTTACTTTACAGGACAGGGAATGTGAAGGTTCCTAACAGAAAAACAAACTGATCAATTATAAAGGCTCATAGGGAACAGGAGATACAGTCATGAACTTGAGACCTACTCCCCTCCATGGGAGTCATAACTCTCTTATGTTCAGTGCTTTTAAAACATAAGAGGAAGGAGAACAATGGAAACAGTGGTGGCAAGCAATCTTTTAATATTTTTTACATCTCTTTTTCCCAGCCTGCCAGGTAATTCTTGGAGTCACAAACTGAATCACCACTCACCATCAATGATCCTCTTCACTCTCCATATTCGTAGTGTGATAATAAGGCTGATAGCATCCCATGGGCTGCTGGGGCCATTAGCCACTGTTGAGGCCACCATTGGTGCCAAGGACAAGATTATGACAGCACCATCAAACACCTAGAGAGAAATCAGTTTTTTCAAACCCTTCCTAAAGATCATAACCCTGC